ATCAGGGGGCAGCAGGGCAGGCCCTATGAGGAGAGGAGGAGAGGAGACCTGAACCTGTTCAGCCTCCAGAAGAGAAGGCTGAGGGGGGATCTAGTGTCCTGTTACAAACTAGTCAGAGGGGACCAGCAGGCACTGGGGAAGTCCCTGTTCCCCCAAGCACTACCAGGAGTGACCAGGAATAACGGTCACAAGCTGGTAGAGGGTAGATATCAGGAGGCGCTACTTTACAGTCAGGGTGGCTAGGATCTGGAACCAACTTCCAAGAGAAGTGGTGCTGGCTCCTACCCTGGGGCTCTTTAAGAGGAGGCTAGATCTATACCTTGCTGGGTTCGTTTGACCCCAGTACTCTTTCCTGCCATGGCAGGGGGTCAGACTAGCTGGTCTACTCAGGTCCCTTCCAACCCTAGAAACTATGAAACTATGAAAACTCATGACATGGGTGACACTGTGTGTGTTAAGGCACATCAGGGTGAAAGCTGCAGGCCTGCTAGACCCTGCTGAAGCCACAAAGTCTTCCAGTTTTCAAGAAGATAGGTGCAGGGGCTTCTGGGTTCTGAAGCCCTGCACCTCTAGCTGCTGACAGGCAAAACTCATGACATGGGTGCTTGTGCAACTGCCTGTCTCTGTCTCTGTTAATATTTGCTCTTTAATTATTGTGTATTGAGCTGGTCCCTGAGTGAATCATGATTGATTGGTAACACAGTAGCTACTGAGGATAACGAGTTAATGAGCAAAGATTAACACATACAAAACCACAGACTAAGGAGAGGAAAGAATCAATACAGAGCCGGGAACGGCTTCTGCCCCTGATGTGACCAATCTCACTCACCAAAAAAAGTGGCCATGCTGTTTCCGGAAGTCCGGCAGCCACTTCTGGAAGTGGTGCAGCTGCTTTTGCTAGAGGCCCTGCCCCCCGGCCGGTGCTCAGAGGAGGGGCACTGGCACTCCCACCTGCCCCCTCTATCTGTCACCTAAACAGGGAGTGTGGCCTGACAGGGGGTGCACATGCACCCACATGCACCCGCTATGCGTTGCCACTTATTGTGCCCACAGTGGCATTAAAAGGATGTTTAGAAGCCAGAAGTATTCTGGCATGACAAATGAACAACCTGGAGAGCATTTCAATACGGAGGGCAACTCCATCCTGAAAAGTGATCTACATGTGTTATTATGGGTTTTTGTATCTCAGTAATTCAAGCTCAGGTTTGTTTTATTTACAAGTAAAAAAACAAAATAATGCTTTACACAGTTTACTCAGTGGACACACTGCAAAGTAATCAGGGGTCTGAAAGTTCGTGAGTTCTTTGTATACCATCCAGAGGAAAAAGACCATGTAGGTCAAATGATGCCCTCGGTGACTCTTTACAACCCTACTCCTGTGAAGGCTATGCAAAGCCACCTGTAATAGTCATAAACACTACAAAATGTAGCTGTAATGCTGTAAGCAAGGCACCAACTGCAGAATCTTTATAGCTAGTGAGGATGTGTAGTTATATACTGAATTCTACTGTTTCTGATCAGAAGGGGTGGACTAACATCAGGTGTCTGAAGAGCTGCAAGCCATTTAACAGACTTGCAAAGAGAGCAATGCAGGATTTTCTTTGCATTGGAAGCTGACTATGGGTCCAAAAGAGAAAGAAATTTGTTTTGGGGTGGAGGCAGGTTCACTCTGGCCTTTGCTTGTAAGATCTGGACTGTGATCCAAGCAGTCTGCTCCTGATGTTAATACTTCTCTACAATGGGTGAATCATGGGGTTCATTCAGAATGAGCTGACAGTCGTTCTGGGCTGGCTACTTATATTGTGCTGTACACTGTAGCCAAAACCAGCTTGCCAAGCAGCCTAACTGCCATAACAAGTTCTGCACACTATGCTCAAGCTGCTGAAGGGCTGAGACAAGAGTAGGAGTTGGGACTGACTGTGGATTTAAAAAATTATAAAACTGAAGGCTGTAATGGTACGGGAAACATAATAGCTCATCTGCCTTCAGCTCCGTTTTATGTATATTATACAGAAGATGGGGAAGCACTGTAAAATACTGTCAACTGCCATCAGTTATGGCCCCTTCTTTCCATGCCTAGGATCTCAGGGGGAATCAATTCAGGGCTAAATAAAATAGAGGAGTCAAATGTATTCCTTCCATTGTTGTCTGATTTCCTCTTAGAACTGTTCCTTCTTTCCAAAACAGACATGTGTTTTGGGGGTGAATAGGCAAATTTTTAACAGTATTGTCCTCCTTTCACATGGATTCAAGCTGTTTCATCTAGTCAGAAAGAACTGTGTGGAGTAACCAAAGGTGTCAAGCATTAAAAAGACACTGTATAAGAACTGACTCAGTATACTTAGCTACAGGGAAGCAGGGGGAAGAGAGAGCTTACTGACAACAACATATGATAATAGATCTGAGAACATTTTTTAAAGCTGGAACATGAGGAGGTATATCAACCCCTCATTGCTGTTATGAAAGGTACACGAGAAGTTATTATCCTTCAATAAGGATAATAGAAGGCCAATGTAAAATTGGTACATACAGCAAGGCCCTTACTCAAGAAAACATGCTTTTAAGACCACCCATCCAGCAAAGCACTGAAGTGCTAACTTCAATTGGATTTTAACACGTGCTTAATTGAAAAAAATGTGCCTAGGTGCCTTATTGAACAGGGTGCTTTTCTAAATCAGGTACACTCAAAATGCATACTTTTATTTACAAGTATCTCCAGCTAATAGGGACCTAGACTTGCAACTATCTGTATGTTATTCTGGTGTTGTGATGATACACTGAATGAGATCGTTTACATATACAGTACTTGTTTCTGCACTTGAACAAATAAAAGTCCATCCTGGAGTGTGATGAAAATTGAACTTTACCTTTCTTCCAGCTTGACAGTAACCTGTTGTAGGATCTGTGATGCCTGCTTATGGTACTCCAGCTGGGCTTGTACAAGAGCAGAAAGCTGGCTCACTTGTTCAATCTGAGGAGAAACATGCAAAATCAAATCTTAGTTCAATACCACTGAGCAGAGCTATTCAAAGAGCATCTGTGGAACACTATTATCCTAGCACTGCAGAGGCAGTTCTCTCTGCAATCTTGCCTCCTCTTTCTAATTAAAAAATAATTAGAGATCAGTTAAGCTTGCCTTTTTTAGATATTACTGCACCTGGATAAGAAAGGCCTCAGTGGGCCTGCTCACCTGAACAAGGGGGCTTCAAGACCCACAAGATCATTCTGAGAACTCGGGGAAAAACTGAATGAGTAAAGGGCATCCAAAACTTGTTTCTTCTTGCATGCTAGACAAAAGAGCTGATTTTGCAGGTGAGTGGTAAGCAGTCACTCAAAGCAGACTATAAACTCTCAGGGGTCACTGTCACTTCATTAGGGAGAATTCTCTCAACATTCCCTCTGAGGAAATGATTTCCACTGACCTTCAAAATAGGGTCTTAAAATGGTACAATCTAGGTGAGAACAAACTAACTGAATGGAGGGGGATAGGTGTTAAAATTGGTGCAAATAATATAAATTCTCTTCTGCAGGTACACTGCACTTCAGCACAGCTACATTTAGTTTCTACCTGTGAAGGTTCTTGGTTATGCTGTTGCTCCTTTCCATCACTCTTTCAGCATAAAATATCTTTAAAGTTGGTGTGAATTTAAATCTAAATTTAAATGCACACTTATTCACAGGTATTGTGACACGGCCTGGGGCAACAGCAATATGCAGAGTCAGGTGACTTCCACCTGCTTCCTTGTCACCAATGTGATTGCCTGGCTTAAGCAGCAGCAATTTTTTTCTTTCCTTCGCCTCCACCCCCCAAGTTCATGCTTGAGGTGGCTGCCCTGGTCACTCCACCCTAGTTACACTACTGCACTTATTTATCCATTCAGTCAGTTATCCATTAGAACTGAAACACCAAATCTGCAGAGTCAGTTGAATGGACATTTCAGACAATAGTTGAATGGGGAAGATTTTCCCCCTCCAGATGAAGGAATAATACTTTCTTCTTTGATTTTAAAGTTTTCAGTCCCATCTACGAAAGGAAAAAAAAACCCAACAACCTGTGGCCTGGGTTTCAATTAATGCAGCTCACTTTTCCAGCAAGATGCTGTACCTTATGCTAATCTGTGTATACAGCTTACATTGAAAACCCAGAGTTGAATAGACACATTTCAGTTGAGGGAAAATCATGACCTGGGAACATGGATTTATATAATTCTGACCATATAGATAGATACTCTTTCTTTGGCCAGAAGTAACCTTAGATGGTCAACAAGAATGGGCTGTTGTTATTGGAATTAATTTCTCTATTTTAGACACTTATATGGCTCCCACTGGCATAGCACCTCACCAAGCCTTACAAGACACTGCCTGGGGGCTTGTTATCCCCATTTTAAAGATAGGAATCAGAGGAAAGGAGATCTGTTTAACGTTTCACAAGAAGGTTGTGGCAGGATGGAGGTCTGAACACCTGTCTCCCCTTCCAAGAACAAATCCCATAACTCCTGAACCAACTTTCTTCACATTTTCAACTCAGCCCAAAGCACAAATAAGGGATTTCCTCACATCCATCTCCAAAAGGTTAAACATGCTTGACTCAGCAATTTCTTTGGATTCATCAAACTTGTCCAGGGCTTGGCGAAGTTCGTCATCAGGGAGCTTCCCTTGTCTTTTCTTCTTGTAATCAAAGTCCAGACGTCGGCCTTCCATTTTCTTGAGGTGGTGCTGCAACATTAGAGAGGTAAAAACAGGCATGTGATGTACACCACTTTCCAGCTCTCTCTTCTCTGCTTTATGATCATTGCAGTTAGTCAGTCATGGAGACTCAAACTGCATGCTGCCAGTTTACTGTTGGCACTTTCATATGAGTCAAAGAGCACAGAAGAGGGGGTTAGATTGACATTTATGCTGAGCAGCCACAGAATTCTGTTGTGTAAACATGAAGGAACTTCATTATTTACAGAAGCAGAACACAGTGGAAAACACCTACCTATATGAAACATGAGAACTATTCAGTTTTATTTCCAATCTGAAATTATCTGCATATTATCCCCCAGGACTTTATGTACACATTTGTTCTTGTGTTTTAATTTTCTTTTCTGATGCCAGTGAGAAGATTATTTTTGTGGTTTTCATAAAACCAGCAATGCATCTTATTTTCTGAGTGGTTTATCAACTGACAAAACATCTCTTCTATTTAGCAACTTCCATATAATGTTCATTGGAGCATTACAAATGCTGCTGCTGCCACAAGAGACTGAGAAAATGAAGCTCTAAAGCAGATATATTTTAGGTTTTCACTATTAAAATGTAAGAAAATTTGTGATCTATCATGATTCATCATGAGGTAAAAGCTAAAATTTTAAATTACCCTGGTGGCTTTTAATGCTCTAATTCTATACTTACACACGTTACAGTCTTATTGAAGTCATTCATGGGTGTAACATTACTTCTATGCATAAGTGCTGGAAGAACTGCAACTCACATTTACATCTACTAAGTTGTATGTGAAATCATTTGTGTCAGCAACACAAATAAGCATATGCCTATATAGTATTTGTACATATAAATTACAAAACTGGCTGCATGGGTAACTTTTTAATATGCACAAGAAAATAACATTTGTTTCCAAATACCTGGGATTTTGTGGGTTTTCAGATCATCTAGCATCTAAAAATGCAGGTACAAATTTAGAAGCAACTATTCAAAGTCTGCATTTAAAAACAAGCCATCCCACTACACCATGAACAGTCAAACAGACCGACTAGTGTTTTCCTGTTCAAAAAGACTAAAAGCAGACCTATGAATTTACAATAGCCTTCTAGAGTCCCACAGCTATAGTCCTAAAATATAGATGATCTTTATCTGACTGTTCTAAAAGCATGAATCTTCATTGATGACAATACCTGTATTTCTCTCAAATCTTTGTCATGGAGATTCTGTAGAGGGTCAATGAAATTTTGCTTTACTTCAATGTCCAAAGAATCTTTAACCTCAGAAAGCTCTCTCATAGCTTCTCCAACATCAGCCAAGGCTGGGCCTGGAGCAGAGGAAAGCCTAATTTACCTGTGACTCTACATTAGAATGGAATGACTTTCAATCACAGAAAATGAAGTTAGGAATAAAATATATTTTTGGCTGTGAATATGTATCAGGATTTCTTTAAATCTTCCACAATCAACTTCTAAAATACAATTAGTTTTGTCTAATAAGAAAGTATGGTATATTGAAAATGCACATTTTAAGGACAGTATAACAAGGGTAACTACTTCCCCTAATTGTTACTGTTACTCTGCTGTTACATTGCAAAGGTTGTGTGGAAGGATTTCTTATCTCCTGCTAGCCTTTATACCATGGGTGGAGGGAAACTGGAAACAGCCTTGTGTAAAGGGCTTTGGCGACCAACATTTTCTTTTTCTACATGTATCACTTCTGAACATATCTTGTGTTCTTAGTTGCATGCCTTGTCAGCAATGTATGCAGTAAGGCAATGTATAAATCTCATGTGGCTATTTCCCCAAATAGAAAAGTCTTGACTTTAACCAGTTGAAAACAAACAACCCCCCCAATGCCCCCCCG